CCATAGAATGAACATACATACTGTGGAAGTCAATGGCTACTGGCAACTGTTTGATTACCAACATTCTTCAAAATATCGTCTTTTATGTTCGACAGAGGAAAGACACTCGTAGACGTTTGAAAAAAGTTGAGAGTAAGTAAATGATGGCAGAATTTCATTTTTGGTGAATTGTCCCTTTAGACTTTAATGTGTAAACATTGTGGAACCGGTAGCTTTCTAAGCGATCAGAATTTTTTCACCAAAGTTTCAAAAGCCATATTTAGAGACCGGAATATCATAGAGATTCGGGGTAGGCATTTTTGACTTGAACCAGTAAGCAATTGCATAGTAAGACCCTATCCACATATAAACTCTAGTTAGAGTTTGGTATTTGAAGTATGTCAGGTTGACATATAAAAATAGTTGATTTCAAGAAAAATAGCTCAGGATATTTATTAGTAATGGACTTGTTTGCTTCTCTCTGAGCAGGTATTCTGATATGACATGGTTAGTGGCTGAGTCTTGGGCCAGAGGATTTTTTGAGCACCTTGTCAGATGAAGTACATCAGTTCTCCAGCGTGGAGAGCGGGCAGGTATTCCACTCACATGGCTCAGTCTGAGCAGAGAAGAGGGCTCTTATGACCACAGGCTCCACAGTCCTGCACTAGCACTTAAGCACGTCCCACTGGAGGGAAGGCTCAGGGAAAAGGTTTAAACTTCGCAGAGACGAGGAGAGCAAGAGAAAGGCTGGGGAACAGAGTGACTGAAGATTGTGAAAGAGTTATTTATAAAGAATTAGAGCTGCAGTGACTAATAAATAATAATGGATTTGTTGTTAAGTAAAACTTGTATTTTTTCACTGAGCTTGTTTAACTTTTTTTACTGATATATTCTCATTTTGATATTTATACTACATCTACATCAAGTTTGGGGTTGGTAAGATTTTTTTAAAGGGGTCATATGATGCGATTTCAATTTTTCCTTTCTCTTTGAAGTGTTACAAGCTCTTGTTGCATAAAGAAGATCTGTAAAGTTGCAAAGACTAAAAGTTGAAAGTTGAAAAGCTAAAGTCTCAAATCCAAAGAGATATTCTTTATAAAAGTTAAGTGTCAACCACGCCTACCTAAAACAGCTCATTCTAACACGCCCCCACGTCACATACGTCACAATGTGGGAAAATTTGCATAACGCCGCCCAAATGTTCACGCAAAGAAAGAAGGCGTAACTTTTATTCTCCCTGTAGTATTGTTGCTGCCACCATGTCGTGAAGACGCTGTGTGTTTCGTTGTGAAAGTGAAACTACAGCCCGGGGTCGTCACATGTGGTTACCGCAAACCCGCCGGCCGCTCTTTCGTCGAATCCACCGGCCGCGCCGTTCTCAAGCCCACCCGCCGCCACTCACTCAAGCCCGCCGTGTGTGACGACATGTGTTTCGTTGTGAAAGCGAAACTACTTTGTTTGGCCTTCCAAAAGAGGACACGACTAGAAATCAGCGGTTAAGTTGTATTTACATTCGGACAATCACAAAACACTAGATAGCTGGCCAATCAGAGCACACCTCGCTTTTCAGGCCAATGAGCTTTATAAAAATCGACGCGTTTCAGAAAAACGGGGCATAGAGGAGAAACAATAACGTACAGTATGTGGAAAATAATGTGTTTTTTTAACCTTAAACCGCATAAACACATTTCATTACACCAAATACACAAAATAATGTTCTTTTTAGCAACATCATATGACCCCTTTAATGTTTTTGAAAGAAATCTCTTAAGCTCACCAAGACTGCATTTATTTGATCAAAATACAGTAAAAACAGTAATATTTTGAAATATTATTAGAATTTAATATTTTTGTTTTATATTTTCAAATATTACTTACTGCTGTAATGCCAAAGCTGAATTTTCAGGAGCCATTACTCCAGTCTTCAGTGTCACATGATACTTCAGAAATCATTCTAATATACTAATATTTGGTGCTCAAAAAGGATTTCTTATTATTTTGCTGTTTTGGATACCATGACTTTTCCAGGATTCTGACCAGTAGAACGTTCAATAGAACAGGATGTATTTGATATAGAAATCTTGTAACATTACATATCTCTTTACTTGTCACTTTTTGATCAGTTTGGTGCACCCTTACGGAATAAAAGTATTAATTTCTTCCGCCAAAAAAAAGACTCCACTTACTCCAAACTTTTAATATGTAATTTATAAAAAGAAGAGTAAAATCACTGTAGATAGACAGATTTAACCAGAATATATTTGGCTGCTGACTCTGCATACTTCGTGGAACTGATCTGAAAAAGAGCAGGAACAAAACAGAGAGAAGGAGACAGTGGGAATGGAGGATCCCTCTAGCATCACATTACCTTCCAGCTGTAATGACAGACCGTTCCACCACATCACAGACCACAGCGCGACTAGCCAGGAAATCTAGACCCCACTGTTTAAGCTTTCCTTTAAAATGCAATCAAAATAGTCTCAGCATTCCATCTTTAAAGTCTGAATAATATGTCTGGAATATTTTGCGAAACTCTAATGGAAAATTACTACCGATGCCAGATTCATCGCAATCAGACGTTACTCCACTATTGTTAGCACGCTTCTAAATCTGATGCTATTCTGATCTATTCGCCGCATATGCTGTTGAGTACCTTCATAAGAACTTGACAAGTCATTTGTCTTGAAATTTGACCAGAATTTGTCTCACTTTAAGTTTGGGACCTCATATAAATATTTCAAAGAGGTGAGAACAATACATTTGATCTTTCTCCGTGGCATAAATAAAGCACTCAGTGTCTAGGAATACAGTCTTCAGGGTCTGCTGGAGCATATTTGTCATAGAAAATTATCATGGAAAACCAATACAGTCTTTTCCACCGCATTCTGTTTAAACCCAGGAGCATCGTCAATGTGAAATGTATGATAGCAATATGCAATTATGTAAAATGATGACAGCAGACGAGCCAATGGAAAGTTTCAAAAGATGCATTGTCTATTGTTTTAAATAAAATTAGAAGAATTTCCTTTCTTCTGCTTGCTTTCTTTTCTTTTATTCTGTCTTAGACACGATGATGCTTTATATTGTCATGTGTGCGTCTGTGGTTTGCCCTAGCAGGTCTCTGCTGTGACCAAACTACCCTGCGGTTTTCTCCTGCTTTTACGGCCTGAGTAAAAACGGCTTTTCAGTGATATCTTAACTGAAAATAGCAAACGAAACCTTAATATGTCTTTTGTTCCCAAACGTTTGTGTGGGAAAGCCTGTTTGCTCTGAGAAACCGGAGGCTGAAAATAGTTAAATAAAACTTTTTATAATAAGGAGAAAATAAGCCAGAGATTGGCGATCGAGAGAAAGGACAGATGAGAGTCTGTGACGCTCTTTAGCCAAACAGCCGCTGCTCATTATCTGAAGCAGAGTTTACCAGGCCTTTTATTGGACCCTTCAGACACTATTTGTCATGAGTTGCGAGATTCCACAAGGGGCTGATGTAAGCGACTGGTCCCCCCCATAGCAAAAGCACGTCACACGCACACACTTCTTGGCTCTGGTAAGATCATTAGGATTGCATCAGCCCCCCATCTGCCCAAGCGGGTCAGAGGCAGACAGGACATGATGTAATCGCGAGGCTGACTGCAGTATAGCGATAGCTCTAGAAAGACTTTTGGTATCTCTGCCTTTTTAATGTTAGACTGAAGATGTCTGCGGCAGTGGGTCTCTACTGGTTTTCCGATTTTTGCTTCAGGACCCAGATTTTACATTGGATCTCGAGTGGTGACTCAACACAGTACCAAAAAGTAAATTATTTTATTTTATAATTTTTTATTAATATGAAAAAGAATTACATAAGCACAACAAATTAAAAAAATATTACGACAGGCTAAATAGGAAAACTATTGGGAAATATTCTATTAGTATTAGCCATATTACATATACATACTTTGCACCAAATATTCATAAAAACAACTAAATACATTTATCCCCATCTCATCTGTTTATCTATGCTAACTATGCATAGTTATATGGTTCATTATAATTTTTTATGTATACTCGTTTTTTTTTTTTTTTTCAAATATAAAAAATTCTGTTGAATTTAGAATTGAAGCTCTCTGGTGTATTCCTTTGCATATGTGAGGTGAATCTTAATGATATGCTATAAATTTGTGCTCGTTTTTTATTTATTATTTGCAGATGGCCACCACATATGGGAAATGGAGGCCAAAGTCAACAGAGAATCATCCAAATCTGTAAGTCTGCCATTTTTCACCTATTTTTATGATTAAAAAGGAAGCCAGATTAAATCCTGAGAATTTTACTAATTAAATAATACAAATGTATGCATAAATATATAAGAAAATGAGTTTAAAAGTACGATTTTTTGTTGTATTGTTGTGTTTGAGGCAAACAGGTTGTTTTTTGTGTCTAAAGCGGATATAATGTACGTGTTGAGCCCTACTCTCTGCTCTCGGGAGGAAACACACTCACACTCTCACACACACACACACACACACACACACACACACACACACATACATACAACACACGCAAACCTGCTCCTTGTTTTCTCTATGGAAGATTCTTTCTGTGAGAGCTCAGGGACCACAGTTTAGACTCTGGGATTAGACAGTGTTTGTGTGTGAAGCACTGCACCTGCTCTCCACACCACACACACTTGTTAGGTAGCACATGTCTGTCTGTAGAGCTCAGACTGTTGGAAGAGACCCATTCTAAAGGTCTTAACCGTCGGTATTGTCCAGCTAAGAAACATAGACTTAAGTTAAATAAAGTTCCGGAATGTGATAGAATGTTTTAATCAAAGGCAAAGGCACCAGCTATTTACCATTTGATTTGTAGATTCTCGTAAAGCGAATGTATAATTGCATAGTGACTCTTTAATTGCTTCTCGGCAGAACTTTCAAATGCAAGTTTGGGTCCCGCTATCAGAAAATGAGCTAGCTAAAATTCCTTCAAATTTACGGCAGAATTGTATTAGCTTCTGTCTGAGCTCATGTGTTCATGATAAAATGAAGAGAGCTCTATGGCTGTCACATATTTTTTTAGGATGAATGAATGTTTGTTTCTTCCGTGCATGAGCCAAAAGCTCCCTGAAAGCTAGCCTTTGTCTGGTGTCTCTTGGTTCAGAACTTTATGAGAGCCTCCACGCCTGGTTTCAATGCTCAGCAAGTGAATGGAGACCATCTGTTTGAATGGAGCATTAATGTGTTAGACAATTTTTTACAAGGACGCCTTTGATTTCTGCCCCTCCCTGCCCTGCTGTGTGTGTATATGTATATTTATTAAATGTGAACCATTTTCTCACACAGTCTAAACCACATGGCTCTTTTAGTTTGGTAAGCTGGCTTGTGTCAGCGGCCTTTTGGAAGTTTTGGAAGGGATATGTTTGTATTTTCACAATCGGCACATTCATGTGCAAATCCAGAAGATAAAGCTTGATCTTCTTTAAAGTCACATTACTTTTTCATATAAATACCAACATTTGAAATTTGTTGCTCGAATGTGGTGCCTGTATGCAGATGCAGATGAAGTTGACATGACATTTTTTTAAATAATTTTTCTTTTGTTACCAATCTCTTAAATAACACTGTATATTCAGTGCGATCAAACACACAGTAAAATGGTAATATTGTTAAATTTGATTATTACAGTTTTATTATATATTAAAATTCAGTCTTCAGTGTCGCATGATCCTCCAGAAATCATTCTAATATGCTGATTGGCTGCTCAAGAAGCATTTCTTATTATTACCAATGTTAAAAACAGTTGTGCTGCTTAATATTTGTGTGGAAACAGTGTTTTTTTATTATTCTTTAATGAATAGAAAGTTCAAAAGAACAGCATTTATTTTCATCAACAGTGTTAAAATCTTTACTTTCACTTTTTTGTGTTTTTTAATGTATCCTTGCTCAATAAAAATGTTAATTTCTTAAAAAAAAAAAAAAAAAGTCTTACTGAGCCCAAACTTTTATATAGTAGAATACATGTGCATTAACTGAACCAGCCTAAAAACGAGTTTTTAGCATGATTTAAAATAAAGAAACAACATTTATGTTACCATTTTAAGATTTTATTACTGTTTTGTAACATGAAATGTCATCTTTGTCACAATTGTGGCAATTTCAATCAGTCTCAATGAAGTAGATAAAAACTGTAGGCCTATTACCAAAATAGCTTCTTTTGGGCATAGCCAAGATGAGGCCACCAAATGACCTGAATTGCCTTATTTTTTTTCATTGAATATGCTGTTCCACTCAGAAGTTCATCACATTACAAAAGTAAAATGAGTTGTGAAAGACGTTCATTTAGGATTTATAGGTACATGGGTGTGTCGTTGCCATTTTAACACATTATTTAGAGGTAAATTTGAATTTTGTTGGAGTTTGCTGTGGGCCAAGGGTCCTGAGCACAGCTGCGGATCAGACTAATGGATGAAATTCTCTCTAACACATTGTGCTTGGTCTGGCTTTGCTCTGCGGCTGAGGCGATGTGCTAATATAAACAGCTCACCTGCACATGGTTCTAAAACCTGCAAGAAGACTGATGACTTCCTCTCTGGCTACTGTACAGCACGTCCATCAATCTCCTCTCAGCCACACAGGGTTCATCTCAGGGTGGAGGAAAAGAGGTTGTGGGGAGATAGACAGTTTGACACTCCCAGCACCTTTCTCATACTGTAGTTACAATCGCAGACGGCTCAGCGGTCAAAAGTTCAGTGGTGTCTGGAGACAGAGAGGGGAGAAGCGCAGTCTGGACGGAGTCCCCGGACACTCTCTCATTCAGGGTGAGAAGTGCAAAAATAACACCGTCTGCTGCATGCAGTTTGGTTTGTCTGAACCTCATCTGCCCCGAGCTCTCAAAGCCACAGTCGCTGGATGCGTGTGCGGCTGTTGGATGGAGCACATGGTGTGAGGTTAAATAACGGAGACGGTGTTGTTAAGGATTTTGGTATCTAGAAACTGTTTTCATTAAAATGTCTGATGAAACCATTCCAAATGATTGTGTTAAAGTTCGTTATATTTTCCACACTTAATATCCAGAACTACTAGAAGTACAGTAACCCACACAATGGCTCTGAGGTGTTATAAAAACATTTTTCTGTTTGTTTGAGCATCCTGACCAGCACAGCAGCATTGTACATTTATTTTGGCCATTGGTCACTTAATGAAGGTTGAAGGTTGAAGGTTGAAGGTTTTTTCCCCCTCATTCCTGTCACCTGGTGGCTTTTGGGTTCCTTGCTTAGTTGGGTTTCAAAAGACATTTAATATTACATAATTTTATCAGTTTGACAGCAGTCGTACAACTGGAGGAGAACGTGAACTGAATTGAGATGAATAATGGCACTATATTGTCTAGGTGCTTGATAGCACCGAATTTGTTTATAATTGACAAATTTGCAACGTTGAAACTGATATTGAACTGAGTTGAATCAACGCTGAACTGAGTTGAATAATGACACTAATGTCTTCAGTTGAGCTGCTTATCACTGAATTTAATTTGTTTCATAATTGATAAACTTCACAGTTATTGAACTGAACTGAAAATGACACTGTTGTCTTTGGTAGAGCTACTTTATAGTTGAATTGAATTTGTTCATAATTGAAACATTTTACAATATCGACACTTATTGAACTGAATTGAATCAACATTGAACTCACTCAAGCTGAATAATGACAACTGTCTTCAGTTGAGCTGAATTGAACTTGTTTCATAATTGATGAATTTTACACAGTTATTGAACTGAACTGACTAGAGCTAATTAATGACACTATTTTTTTTTTTATTTTTTTTTTTATAAGAGTTATATAAATAAAGGTGGCTTGACTTGACATTGGCTCACCCGATTAAATTTCAGCTCATATTTTGAATTTCAGGTGGCTTTGCTTGTGGATGTCCCACCATACCGGAACCAAAGAATATCCAACCCAGTTCAAACTTGTTTCATAATTGATTAATTTTACACAGTTATTGAACTGAACTGACTAGAGCTAATTAATGACACTATTTTTTTTTTATTTTTTTTTTTTATAAGAGTTATATAAATAAAGGTGGCTTGACTTGACATTGGCTCACCCGATTCAATTTCAGCTCATATTTTGAATTTCAGGTGGCTTTGCTTGTGGATGTCCCACCATACCGGAACCAAAGAATATCCAACCCAGTTCAAGTGAATTTCTATGTGTGCAATAGCAAACGGAAGAGAAGCCAGTACCAGCGTTTCACATACCTGCCCTCAAACGGTAAAAAAATCACCTCCTTCTGCTTGAATTCATACACACTCCTTTATTTATAATCTGTGACTGAATTAATTCAGAAGAAATTCTGAAGCCTTTTTTAGTGGATGGAATTGTGGCTAGTTTTTTTCTTTGTTAAAATAATTTCCATAAAATTTGTTCTTTTCCATACCTGCTCCGGGAGCAGTGGAAGGGCAGTGACAGGGTGGGGTCCAGTATGTGAATGCTATTATTCAAATCCAGACTGGTTGCCAGGTGAAATAAAAAAAAATGACTTGACATCTGAAAAGTCCTAACCACTGCTAATTCCCCACAGGCCCAGTGTGCGTAACCAGCGGGTGGTTCAAAGGCTTGAGTCAGACCCAACTTGTCCCAACCCTGTCTCCTGAAGTGTGAGCACTGCAACTGCAGGCCGTCCCACTCACACTGCAGTACTGTCTTTTTTTAGACTGGACATTTCTAAAGATTATGCATTGTATCTGTCCAGCAGTCAAATACATGTACATCAAATTCAAATTGTACGTCATACATTTAATGTGGGTGGAACAATGAAACATTTAGCTAAACATTAGCTCCTTTATAGGGCAGTCTTAAAGTCATTGCCAAGGACCCCTAAAATATATATATATTTTTTTTTTAAATAACTAATTATTAATTAGTTAAATAAATAAATTAATAATATTTAATTATTAATTAAAGTAAATAATAAATGTAAAAAATAAATAAATAATAATAAAAATATTAAATTTAAATTGATAATTATTGATTTAAAATGTAAATAAATTAATTTGACATTATTATTATTATTTAAATGCACCTAGAATTGCATCTTTTTAATAACCATTAATGATGTGCAGAGTCATATGTATATTGTACATTTTAAATAATGTAATGTGCAATGTGCAAATGAATTTTTTTTTACAAAAACTGTTAATTGGCAGATCCCTTGCAGAACTGTTGCAGACACAATTTTAAGATAACACTGTTTATTATGAATCATGATGAGGTCTGTTTATTTGATTTCATATTAACACAGAATAACAAATGGGTCCTGATGAGTATAATGAGTCTATAAGCTTCTGTGGTAGGTGTTAAAAATCTGAATCATCTGGCTTTTGAGGTTAAACATGAGGCGGAGTGACAGATATCTGCCTGCCTCTATAGTCATGTGCTAGAAGCCTCATTTCCCCTTTCTGGGCTTAAAATAGGTGTAGGCTCTATTTTAAACTTGTGGTCGGTCTGGGCGGCACAGAGAGTTCCCCTTTTTCTCTGTATTGCTGACAGAATTCAAAATAAAACTTTAGGGCTTCTGTGGAGGCATGCTGGTGTGAGGGATGTCTCATCGCCGAAGAAAAATAAACCGCTGCTGACAGTCTGTTGAGAAATGCAGACAGAAGTTAAAAGGTGAAAAATGTAACATCATGAGGATGAAGAGTTTGTCAACAACAGATGAGTTCTTCCCAGTCGCTCAACATCTGTTCACCAGAATCACATACACCAAGAAACAACAGTGAGGTCGTTTTTAGTTGTAGACAAGTAGTCATGTCATTATCAGTCTTTTCAATGCCTTCAATAATTGGATGCTGAAAACAGAAGTACATTAATGACCTTTTGAAATTGCTTTAGAAAAGTTTTCTTTTCTGCAGTGGTGTATTTTCCTGTAGAAACAGGAAGTTTATATACATACAAACATTTTTTTTAAAGTAGCCAATAGGCTTATATTTACATCACAGCTGTGATTTGCAATTTGCTAGTCAGTTACAGATTGTATTAAGGGGAAGGACATTCTCATTCTTGAGCACCTGATTGGACAAAAATTGCTTGTCAATATTTCGGGGTTTGACCTGTTAAAAGTTACTTTTGTATTTGCTAGAGTATATCCTATATATGACTTCAAAACTAAAAGGCATGAACTTAAAGCCAGAGTACTATTTTTTTCTTCTTTTTTTCTTTTCACAAAGTCTCAAAGTCTCTTTTGCTACTGTGTATGTCAAAAATGGGCAGACTTACTGTTAGTTTGAACTCCATGCACTCAATATATACGATCTGCTGATCTGTTTCTAATCCAGTCTCAGTCCAGTTCTTAGCTCAGTTGCAATTTGGCTCAGTTAAACCTGAGATCCCATCTTAAAATGACACACTGAATCTTCTACTTAGAGAAAAATGCAGATTTTTATTTCTTGATGAGAAGGTTTTTTTTTTTTGGTAGAGCTATGGATGTGAAGCTACTATACTATATGAAAATATTTCATAATGCACGCTTATATGGTATTAGCACTGGGGGCAGATCCAAAAAAAATAGCCCTTTTATTTTCGAAAGCAGCTGGAAGGCTCTTGTGATGATTCATCCCTTTTTTCCTCTTTTTTAAAATATTTTTAGTTGGGCGGGAGCGCGTAGCCTCAGACACATAGTCTCATTGATGAGAATGTTTGTTTCGCTGTGGGTATCCTAGCCACAAACCCACTCACTCGCACTAACTCGCATAAAGTCACATGAACCCGGAACGTGTGTTTATTCATTTTTCTCCTTTCCCCGGTTTTCTTGATCATCATTGATCTTTCTCTTGCTCTCTTTTGCCCTTCGCCTCCCCAGTTCCAACCATAAAAACAGAGCCGCACGACGACTACGACCTCCCCCAGGTATGTGTGCCGCTCCATCCCGCTGGGTTGGCGCTGCATCCGAAGCCCTACTACAGCCCCCCGGCGATGACCCCCATGATGCCCTCAGAACTAAGGCCTTGTGTCACGGGCTCCTTCACATCCAGCCCTCAGAGACTGGTGGCAAAACCCACCTCCCTGTCCTGCTCGTCCTCCCCCAGCACCAGTCCCAAACTACAGGATCTTTCCCCGCCTCACCTCTCCTCTAAGTGCCTATCAGCGGGATCGAACCTTGGCCCCCAGTCCCCAACAGTCCCACACGTCTCCACCATCCAGCCCACACCCGGACGCTACCCGCAGTCCATCCTCTACCCAACAGGAAGCGCCGCATCCTCTCCAGGGTCCCATCCTTCCACCCCAAACTCCGCACCAGAACTCCCCTTCACTCCCAGCCACAGTCTGACCCAATCACAAGCCACCAGCGAGGCCTCTGCGTTAGCAGCTCAGATAACCAAAGGGCCGGTGAGGAGCGGGTCCTCCCCCCTCCTACAGGAGGAGGGAGACGCCTCCACCATGCTGGCTGTCAGCATCAAGCAGGAACCACAGGAACTGGATCAAATGTACCTAGATGATGGTAAGTGACAGCGCAATATTCCAGCGAAATTTACTGACCGTGTGCATCGTAGTCTGGTGATGTAATGCCCAACAGATGTTTCTAATTGCTTGATGTTTTTGCCTGAGTGCTCCCTCACAAAATTAAGATCCAACGCGAGGCTAACCGTACCGCCACAACGACAGCAGCCCTGTTCCATGATGTTTAATATATCGAGAACGCAAGTTAAATTAACTGGAAAGTTAATGAATGACTTCATCAGTTTGCCTTCAACTTTTGTGTTAAATTTTAAGCATCTGTGGAAGAAATGTTCAACAGATGGAAGAATTTTAATATCAGATCTGTCTATTAAATCATAAAAGCTAATAGATAATGGTTTTCTAGTTGTGGCCAGATCTTTGACTAAATGGCAAAAAGTCCACATCGTAGCTTATTCTGGCCCAGTGCTATTTGAATCGCATAAAGCAACCAATTACAGTTTGTCCGTTTTCATTTGGAGTGAATTATCCGCATCAGACAAAATTCAAACAAAGCGTCAAACAAATATAGAGAACAAATACGCTACCATTCAAAAGTTTGGGGGTGGTAAGATTTGTAAATGCTTGTGAAAGAAGTATCTTATGCTCACCTAGAATTCAAAATAACTTTTCTATTTTAATATATATTTAAAATATACACTCTAAAAAATGCTGGGTTAAAAAGGGACAAACCCAGCTATTGGGTTGTTTTGACCCAGCAGTTGGGTTCAAAACAACCCAACCGCTGGGTCAAAACAACCCAATAGCTGGGTTTGTCCCTTTTTAACCCAGCGCTGGGTTATATTTAACCCAGCATTTTTTAGAGTGTAGTTTATTCCATGTGTACAGAGTTAAACATCTTTATTTTTATCTCTGTATTATTTTATCTGAATTTTTATCTCTATAGCCATGACCTTATAAAGATTTTTTACATTTAAATCCTATTTTGAGTACCTTGTACCACTATTTTTGTATTAAATTGAATGTCCCTTATCCAATGTGCACCAGTAAATTCAACACAATACCCAAGTAGCACCCTTTGCATATTTATTTAAGCTGGCAAACTTTGGCAAATCCATTGAATATTTTAATATTGTAAACACAACTTTCTTTTTCCAGGCCTACTGATTAAAAAACCCTGTGTGCCCTGACTCTGGGAAGTTGTGTAATGTCAGCCAATCAGATTAGAACTTGCCAAACTGAGAAAACACTGTCCAGTTTTGTATGTAATATGCATCAGGCGATCCCTGTCTGGTTTGTGGGTGTACTGACACTGAGATTAATGGCTCTCTAGTGTATTCGCAGAGACCCAAACCTTACTGGTAATGAAAAGATCTGCTAAAATATCACATGGTGCTTCAAGCCCAACAGGAGGTCACTTTTCAGCAATGTCATTAAGTTTGTATCAAGGGGATATACAAATAGTCTGGACACCATTCAGCCCGCAGCTTTTCAACACTACAGAACATATGATGGGCCATCAGTGTTTCTACAGCCCTAAGAACACTTGAGTACGTAAAACACTTATATGCTAATTTAGTGAGGGAAATTGTCTTGAATCATTCTGCTAGCGATCTAAGATCCTTTCTTGGAGTTTAAAGAAGATGTTGGATAGCGGATTACAGATGCCATAGTGGTTTCCCTAAGTTCCAGACGAGGCTTAAGTCTTCATACATTTGAGCAGTTGAAATATAGTCCATACTGCTCAAACTAAGCGGAAACATGGACAAGTAGTTATGCATGGAGTGAGAGCGGGGTTTTTTATGGGTTTGCTTGTCAAAATTATTACCTGTCATTTCTCCCCTGGCAAAATATAACACGTTTTACCAAGCGCTAACACGGCTTCTCGTGTCATTATAAGTTCGGGTTGCATTTCTTCTAGATTGCAGCTATAATGTACTCTGTCAGGTGTGGCATTCGCTGAGCTTGTCAACCACTCTCGTTAATTTGATTTGAAACAGAGGAACTTTTCTACAGGCACAAAATCGTCGTCTGTCATGCATGGCTGTCAGTGTATCTAGTATTCAGGCTTTCTGATGCTTTAGCTGTCTTATTATCATTTGAAGATGTTCTTACTTCTTGTAATATGCTTGAATAAGCTGTCAGGTGTGATGAAGGTACTTCACCACCAACTGCTTAACAAATACTTCAGTCTTCATTTAATGCTCACTCTCTGCCGGGTGTGATGAAGGTACTTTCAAACTTCACAACCAACCACTTAACCAATCCTTCAGTCTTCATTTACTGCCCACTGTTTCCTCTGATACGCTCCTTCTGTTGTTTTCCTTTGCTTCTTGAGGAGGGGTTACAAACCCTTTTACTCATGGAAACTCTTACAAAAGCTGGCTGTGAGCCTGGTTCCTGGCCTTCACCAGCCGTAAGCTTTGAGGGGCCTCACTGCAATAAAGCACACTGACTTGGCCGCTTCCGACGCAAGCCTGTGGCTTGAGCGCTGCCAGGAAGCACGATCCAGCTCGGCCCAAGCCAAAGCAGTAGATCCTGCAGTAAAGGAGGGGGTCACTACGGGAACCGCTCCACGTCACGTGACCTAAGAGTTGGGTTCCCCATAAGAAACCACAGCAAACCTTCCAATTTAGCCTGTGGGGCTGTTAAGAAATGCATGTAGGAGTGGTGAGCAGTTTGAACATTCAGATCATTGAGCAAGTACAGGACTTGTGAAATATATTTATGCAACATGGTGAATTTAGAATACACTGTTCATTTATGACTACAAATAGTGGAAATGTTTTTAAAACTGAAAAGCACTATCAACTTTAGTTCTGTTTATGAGATATTAAGGTGTTTTTCCATGTCGTTCCAAACATGTATGACTTTATTTCTATTTGTGGAGCCAATACAGCTAATACAGTGACTGTCAATGGGGTCCAAAACAGCATTGGACCCAAATGACTTTCAATGTATGGATCAAAATAAAACTCTGATTTTTTTTTTCTTCCTTTATGTTCCACCAAAGTAAATGATGAAAGTATTTTAGGTGAACTAACTATTGTTCACCTCCAAGCTGTGACTAACAGCATCGTAATTTTGCTAATATTGAAGCAAAGGCCAAAAACATCTTGTGGTCTGGTACTTGGTCAAACTAACATAGTTTTTAAGACCAAAGTAAATGATGAAAGTATTTTAGGTGAACTAACTATCCCTTTAAAAAAATCTCGTTTTTTGGGTGCTTACATAAGTGTTTGAGTAGACAAGATTGGCTAGACGTTGTTAGTCACCTCCAAGCTGTGACTAACAGCATCGTAATTTTGCTAATATTGAAGCAAAGGCCAAAAACATCTTGTGGTCTGGTACTTGGTCAAACTAACATAGTTTTTAAGGAAGATATACCCTTGTGACTCAATTATGTTGCTGGTCATTGCGTAGATGAAAAATCCCAGTGTGATTGTGATCCTGACCCAGGGTCTGTTTTTCTTGTCTTCTGCTGATTAAAACAATTAGGACTTCTGGGAGTTTTGGCGCTTGCGGACCCCTTAATGAGGCTAACAGTGCTGGTGGGATAATTGTTTGGTAGTTCCTTGCTCCCCATTGTTTCCTGAAGGTAGAGGCTCTATCACACGGATCCAGCTGCCGCTTATCCTGGTCCAGCAGGAAGCAGGTTCTTGGATTACCTCACATCCACATATTCACTTCCCAGTCAGAGTCACAACAGCAATCCCAGAGATACGAGACCTTTATATCAAAGTTCAAGAGGTGCATTTGTCAAAATAAATGGTATATATACAAAACATATTCATTAGTTTATGAACTAATGGAAGGCCTTAATGTCTTAATTTAGTCTGAAAGATATGTAAAATGTTCAGTTGGTTACTAAAATGGTCATTGGCTGTAATCATAAAGAATTCTGAGCTTTTTATTTAAATGTCAGAATCACTGAATGGAATGGAACATGGAATCGACTCATGCCATACTTTCCTAAGTGGGTCTGAATGGAGTTTTTTGGTTCAGACATTTACCTTTATGCACTTGGCACATGCTTTCATCCCAAGTTACTTACTTTGCATTCAAGTGGAAGATTCTGTATACATTTTTCCAAATCATGCTAGTGTTATTTCAGCATTACATATTAGTTTTAAGTTTTACTTAAACTATTAGTTTTAGTTTTTTTAGGTCCAGTTACTAATTTTAGTACTTCAGCTTACACTTATTTCCATTGCAAAACCAACATTTCTAATTTTCATTTAGTTTTAAGCTTTACGTCTAATATTTATATTTTATTCTGTAACAAAAATGGTTTTAGTTAACAATAATAACCCTGGTTCATGCTTTCCCTGGGAACTGAACCCATGGTCTTGGCTCCATTAGCAGCATGCTCAATTGTTGGAGATGCTATTGTTTTTAATGTGCTAAATGGCGTAGCATTTTTAATGTGTTATTGAATTGAAAATGGCATCTAACATTTAGATATCTTTTTCCAAGCGGAGTGCTAATAAAAACTTATCTGGCTAATGCATTGAATCATGAACACCATATCTGCCACACTCTATAAACTCTGTCCGTGCATCCTCTTCACCCTGAATCATTTATCACGTGCTGAAATACCTCTTGAGTTATGCTAAGCTTATCGGGTTATGAAGGGTTTGTCTTGACTATTCTTTGGTGCCAATTCAAACAGCACCAGGCTGAAGTCAAAAACGCTTGTTAGTTTGATATGAAGCCCTAAGCAGTGTCTCATATTTCATCTATTATTGTGTATCCAGTCACTTATCCAGTCACTTGTTGAAGCCCTTTCATTAGACTCCTCATTCGAAATGTGGCAGCAAATTGAGATGTATCCTATGGCAACTGCCAACAGTTTTCTTTTCAAGCCAACAGTCTACAAAAGCAGCATCGCAGTACATGAGTCACTAACTGCTATCCTTAGCCAAAACCCCAAACCAAAATTGTTGACCAACAGAGACTTGAAAACAATGAAAGTTTCCTTGGTCTTTTCAAAATGCTAGTGCATGTGTCAACACCTACTGAGGCCGTCTTTATTTACCATGAGCACTCTG